GTTTTTCTTAACGAGGTGTGAGTTTTCAAGGTGTGAGTTAACTAAATATGGTATCTGGTGGAAAAAAACCAGAACTGCAGGAGCTGCATAGAGAAACAGGAAAAAGAAATAACTATCGTAACAAATTAAGAATAATTTAGTCACTCATAATTTTCAAGCAATCAGTTGCTTCTTTTTACATTATAGAAATCTAGAAACTAATTAGTCAATCTAGATTCTGGATTCAATGGAAATTTACTCTCGATGAAAATTGCACTAAAAGTGAATTTCGATTGAAAAAGTTACCCAAGATCTACACATTGTAATTCAAAGGTCCGTGACAAGTAATCTCTTTGAATTTCGTGCGTTATCCGTCAATTAGAAAATTGAGCTTAACCTTTAATAATTTATAGTATCGTATGACAAAAAAAGGGTTATATATTTATTTTATTTCTTACCCGAATGTCCAGATTTATACCAAATACCTCCATGATATATTTTTTCTGATTATAACTTAAATGTGCAGGATAATACCTATAACCTCGGTGAACTTTATATTCTTCTTCAGATTAATTTCTTTAGTAATTGCTCTCTAATGTCACTTATTTACAGTTGTGGGTATTGCTCGGCACTGACTTGATGGCTTACTATATATGTAACATTGAGTGTTCCTTCGTCAGTATGAAGCACATTATTTCTCTTATTTAAATGATATAGTGATTTCCAGTGTAAAGTAGCGGTACCTTTATTTTCTTTAAATAGTTTGCGTAACTGAAATGTGTGGATGAAGGACTAAGGTTGATTCCTAGAATTATAGATGTCTACAATTTACCATATTATTTGTAAGTAAAGCTTCTTTTAAAAGTAGTATTATTTTACAAATTCTTAAGGAATTTGAGTGTCTCTTATAAAATTATGAATTAGTGTTTGATACAAACCCAGACTTCAATAGTATCGGCCTTTAGTTTCGTAAAAGAAGTAATTAAAGTAATTGTTTCAAAGATGGTTCTTTAATTTATTTTTTTTTTTATGATCAAGTCTATAGTATAGAGAACATTATTTAACCAAACTATTTTCAAGAAATATACTTTCTCATGTCAGATTAAGTTAGGTTGAGAGAGCTTATAGTGATATAAATGCCAGCATTTTTATACTGATACATCTATTACCCATTGTGATACCGTCGTAGTTGCCTGGGGGAGGCGAAATTTGAGTAGTTTCGACAAGTCTAATTTCGTAACTTCTGTCCGGGCAGTGAATTCACTTCGTCTATTGTCAAAGGCAGAAATTCAAAAAGTAATTAATAGATTCGAGTACATCTTCTGTGCAGTCTACTTGTCGAAATATATCACGTTAAAGTATCTCTGCAATAGACTCGTTGTAATAATCCGTTAATACTAGAGTAAGTATATGAAATTCAGAGTTGCTGAATCCCAAAGGGGTTTTTATTTTATTCTAGTCCCATGTTAATATTCATACTTGTTATTTTTATTTTAATTTTCAAGTTTCTATCAATTTCTTTTGGTATAAACTTAATAGGCTATACGAAATTACTAATGAATTTAGTCTATGAGTGACTTCAATACAACTTACAGAAAATTTTTTATCAAAACTTTCAATAACTTATGAAGTAGAAAATAATCTATGCTAAGCTTCAATTTAGCTTTATCTCTTGAGTGCCTCAACAGTCACTTAATTCTGCAGAAAACATTTAATTTAGACAAAAACTTTTCCATCTCATTTTTTTCGAAATTAACTAAAGTATATCTAGTCTTTCTATTGTTAAATTGAATACAATTTAAGTAACTTGAACTTGTCTAGTTTTGCAGCAAGACTTTTTATTTATCTGCTTTTCAGTATCCTTGAATCCTTTTTGGCATAAGTAAAGTGTTTCAAAATTTAAACTCTTTTATGCCAGAACAGAAGAATTGAGAACTTAGCTGAATTTACTTATACCGTATTATCCTTATTTACATCGAGAAAACATCGACACACACTTCTTGGCACATCCTTAAGTGTCACTTTTAAGTTTTCTTTAGAAAGTTTGCACATAACCCACCTTGACTAAACCTCAAGCAAAGTTCAGTGAAAACTTTTGTCAAATGTGTGCAAACTTTTGAATAAAGTGTTTATGTTTACCGGAAGACATAGAGCAAGCAGCAAAAAGCGTACACAGGACGCAAACAATGGCGCTCGCGTGTAGACGCACACACACTTGCCCTTTGCGAGAGGAGCACGAAACAGACTTGGAACAGCCACAAATCCAGGAAATCCACTTTAAACTTACACGCTTACAGAATCAAGGAGGCAAACTAAATTTATTTACTGCACCCAAACAAGGACCCATACGAGGAGGACTGCAAACAACAAAACGCAAGGAATCCACACGAATACTGCAACAAAAACAACTTTTGAACCCAAAAATAATCAGAGAAACAGTTTAATTTAGTTTTGGAATGATCAGTGCTTTCTGTGCTGGTTATAGGATGAAGCCTTCATTTCATTTCATTTTTCAATAAAAATTTTATTTTATATTTTTAATTTTTTCACATCACTCAACTTAAAAAAATGCCAGATGAAGAATATAGCTTCCGGGTGCTGCCATATTGGAACTGTTCAGCTAAAGTTGTTTTGCATTTGTATTTGTTTTTGCCCTAATTGTAATAAGCAACAGTGCCGGAAAGTAAAAAATATTTAAACTAAAATAAATATAAATAAATTATTAAATGTTCGCCATGTTGTTAAGTTTAGAGGAAGTGGACAAATTTAACAACTGCAGTTCCATTTTTTGTGGGAGGAGTTTCATTTAGTAACTATACTCATATAAGAGCTTCAATAGCAGAAAAAAACTACATTCTCTTTATAGAAACTAAATGGAATTGAGGCTAAGTATGAATCCAAGAAAAAAACATAGGTTAAAATAGATTGATGTGATAACCTTGTGTCAAAAAAAAATGATCAATCAGCTAAAATTTATTTTGTCGTTTTTGAAATGACTCCCATCGAGTGATATATATTTGCCATCAATTGATTACAACTTGTGTGGGCCTATTGAGTTATGTTTAGCCAAACTTTCTTAAACGGCAACAATCGACTGTAAACGCATTACCTTGGAGTGGTAGATTTAGCTGTGACAACCGAAATAGATCACTTATGGTCATATTATCTGAGTAGTGTGTTAGGTAAATTTAAATCATAAAGATTTTTTGATAAATACAATTTCACAATGATAATACCGGAATTTTTAGTTTAAGAATTATTGGTACTTACCTTCAAAATAATATTTTCTATAGACCCATAAGATATCTCTCTAAATTTGCAGCCTAATGATATGCAATACAATATCAAATATCACTTCATACATACTGCCAAATAATTTTGTTTATTTTAAAGCATACTTTGCGGCACCGAAATAAATAATATATTTAAATGATCTCAAAATATTGGCAAACTTACTGAAAACTTATTAAAAAATTTGAATTTTAAGGCTTAGTATAGGAATTGATTCGATTTTAAACTTATTGATATTAAATTAACTAAAAACTTATTATGCTACCTCCGATAAAGTAATTTTATATGATTTTTTAAGACACTAAATAAGGGACATAATAAATAATTAATTACTCAGATAAAACACATTTCGATTACATGTTTTCTTCGATTGAACTTTTCTTTGACACATTATATTCTAATTAACATCGAAGAAAAACCAATTTCTTTTTTTAATCAAGGACTCATACTATGCATTTCCATCATTTAGCTAAGAAACATTAGTTAAAAACATTTTATTATTTCGAATACGATTCATCTATAGCTGGTGAAATCTTATTTCTAATTCATGTAATATTCCTTTATATTCCTTCATGCAAACTTTAAAACAATTTTTTTTGTGAAAAATATTTGACTGAAAAAATATTTGAAAGAAAAAAATAAGTTTCATTAATATTTTGGAAAATTGCCCTCTTGTAAATTTTTTTTAACTTTATCCATACATTGCTTTGCTGAAAAAAGTATTTGTGATAAAAATGTCCGTCCATCAGATAGAGTAATCAGTATGTGAAGCACAATTGTGCTAGGAGTATTGATGAAAAAAGCGATTCCATTCATATCGTGAAGCATAGAATTATCTCAGAAAATCAAATTAATGGACCTTTATATGATATCTTATGTATATACAATTATTGCTACCAGAAATTGGATTGAAAATGATGTGAAGACACTTAGTACTACTCATTGATCGGATTGAGTAGCGAAAGCGGTTGGACGCGGGTAAGGACAACTCACGTCTGTAATAGACAACTAAGAAGAGCAAAATATATGTAGTAAAATATACCATATAGTGTTACAATCAACTTTATTATTGTTTTTTAGTTATTACTACCATATGGTAGTCTTCATGCTTATTAGAAAGTCTCTATGCGTGCTTTAAAGATATGCTCTATTTTATTGACCAATATGAACTCGATGTGCCGATCTGAAATGTTGGTATTTCTATTCAAAATTCGTATATAGTCAGATAGCATTCTTTTAAACAATTCTGTTGTGTTGAAACGTGGTTTCTGTTCAATTGAAATCATCTTTCATGACCCAGGCTAGAACTAGCTTTCATTATTCGTTTATATGTAAAGTATTGCTTAAAAATTCAATAATTTTTAAAGTAGGATTTTTCATAATTGATATTAACTTTTTCGAGTATATATGATG